TATATATCTATATCAGAGGCAGCAAAGGAAGCGAAATAGCTTAGACATCTGTTTTCTGAGTTTGTACTAAAGCTGAACTCAAGCTGTCCAATGTTGAACTGCTTCCTACTTCCACTTTCCTCTTTCATTGGCTATCCTGACCAGGTTTACTACCAAAGAGACCTCGCAGGCAATGCAGGTTCAGCAAGTCACTCTCTACTACCTATTCATCTCTTTCTAGACAACCAGAGTGCTATCCACCTCACGGAAAACCCCATATTTCACAATCGAACAAAGCATATTGATGTGAAGAATTACTTCATTCATGACTGCTATGCTGGAGGCATTATCACTGTATCCTATATTCCAACACAGGATATGCTAGCTGATGGACTCACAAAATTACTTCCACTTGCTGCACATCGGAAGCATACACCTTTGACTGGTCTTATAGTATTCATCCAGTAGGGCTGATGAGTTTCTGTGGGAGTCAGTATTGGTTTATTTTATTTATTTTCTTTTATTTATAGCTTTGTTATTCTTTCCTTACCTGGTAATACTCTTTTCCTACTTTCAGTACTTTTTCCCTCATGGAGGTTTTTCACTGCAGAGATAGTTTTTTAACGAGGTTACCGATGTATATACTAGGACTATTTTTATCCCCTTTTTTTTGGTTCACGATTGTTTCTCCGCATAGCTTTCATATTTGTCCTTGGGACCGTTTAGTCTATATGAAAGTGTGGGAGTGTTGTAATGGTGACCGAATAGTATCTGGTATATGTAAAGAACACATTGGTGTTTAGGAAAACTCTGCACACTAGAGCTGTAGTATAAAGAGGAGTTCCAGCCTCTGTCTGGACAGATAATAATGATTTCTTTACTCTTCCCAGTGTCTGTTGCTACAGATATTACAACAGTTCTTCTAGCCTATACGTCGAGTGATAGGACGTGATACCAAGTGGTTTGCGGAGAAATTGATTCCCTGGCACAAAATGACCCCGCCGGGTGGATTGACCGCCCTCGGTGGAAACAGTGACGAGAAAACAAAGCTTGGAAGAGAGTCATATACTGTGCTGAGGATTTTCCCCAGGGGAATGAGATGATATTGAGATAAATTAATTTTTTCCTCTTCATCTTACCGGGAGTACATGTAGCTGTACAAGAATTGCTAGAAGCAACAAAACTAGAGGACCTCTCCCATCTACACTGCTTCCCCCATGCATAAGTTCTACGAAGGGGCCACCACTAACTTGGCTCATTCCTTGCATGCCACAGGATATTTCGTTCCGAGAGTCTCTCAATAGTAACCAGATACCACCTGAGGACACGCCCTCAAAGTTCCCATACCCTTCCAAGTGATCCCAGTCCTTGGAAACGCCCTCCTGACCTCCCCCTCCCCTTTCTCCCGATTCAGTAAAACAAATTGTATGAATGTTTACTATATCCGTGGCCGAACACCCAAGATGAGTTATCTAAAATTCTCACCGTGTTATTAGGTGTGTATCTTGGGGCGGAAGGAAGGGTATGAGAACTCAAGGGTGTGGCTGCGCCGTACCATAAGATCCCGAATAGACGGACCACGTGCTATGTAGTCCAGAATTTCCTCCTCTGGAAAAGGGGCGAGAAACACAAAAAATCTGGCCTCCGAGGTGAGTATCGGTTAAAAAAAAGAAAAGAGGCCAGACATTACTAGGAGAGGCAAGTGTCTAGTGTCCTAGCATGCGGTCAGATCATTCGAGTTCTTACGTACTTACAACAGGGGGTTGCCTGGGTGTACTCGAGTAGTGATCTCGTGACAGAGTTCTACAGTAGGCCTTTTAATCTCTGTTGGGATGTTCTAGTACAAGACATTTCGGTCTGGGCCGTGGATCCCGATACCCGGGTTACTCCCTACGATACCCCATCCCAATTTGTCCATCCTCCCTCTTTTTCTTCTTTCTTTTTTTCTAACCCTCAGGGTATAATACAAGTAGTCAGAGTGGGATATGGTAACACTTAATGCAGGAACCAGGACCCAACGACAAAACACCATGGTCCCAGAAAACCTTGCCTTCCCGGATTTCCAAATTGCATTCAACTCAAGAGAGGCCTTCCACCTCTGGACAGAATATAGTGATTACAGGCCCTCAGCAAGGCTGAAGGTGGAGGGGCGAAATCAGGCGTTGCATCCTTGCCCGCCCCCGCACCATCTCCGGGCACGCGAACGTGAGCCGGCTCAGTTCCTCGGTAGGAGTGTTTGTGGAACCGGGTTCCCCTTTGGCTAAGACTATGGGTAGCCTAAGGGGTAGTATTCCTGTAGGCAAGTAAGGTCCTCGGGGGGGAGGGGCCAATTCAATGGGCAAAGAGAAATTCCGTTCCAGAATGACCTCAGCAGAGCGGCCGCAGAACCCGCATGAAACCATCCGCCCCACCAGTACGCCCGGCGGCGCATGCAATAATGTTCCGGAACCCCTGGTCCCGGTTCATCTGACCGAAGTTATTGTCCGCGCTAGCCCACCATGGAGGGCGAGCTAGTCAGCATGGACCCCACACAATCTCTCAAGGGTATCGTACCTGTATGACATCAGAGGTTCCCTGCACAATAGCGCGGTGAGCCACGCGGGGGCAAGGCGGCTCAAAGCCCAAGGGTGTTTTGAGCCGTGAAAATCATCATAGCTCAGATTGGCAATACCTCTGTGAGAGTATCTGACCTCTGACGACCTTTTCAGGTCTATCTCGGTCACCACAGGTCCTTTCAGCTCCTCCGTGTGACGCTGAGCGTGACCTGACACACGGCTCCCCCTGCCGTACTACCGGTATCCTTATTGCCCCAATATTTCCGAACACAAGAACAGAGTGAGGAAAACAAGCTGCTGCTCACCTGTACGCACAACTCACCTCCTCTGGGGCCGCCCCCTCTAGCGTTGGTGGAACAGCTCTTGCGATGGAGTTGAAAGGAAGTTCCGGTAGTCCTCGAAACCGCCTGGAGTTCCCGTGCGGCTTAAAGAGAAGATCCTCCAGCTATGCTCCGCTTTTGTCAAAACGGGAGTGTACTGATGAAAGGGGACATGCGTTCCGGAACAGACGCGTATGGTGATCCACGGAAATTTATTATGCTTTATGCCACAATGGTACTGTAGACTAGCGCATTTCCTTTGGTTCACAATCCCTATCACTCTTGCGCCGCACCACTTACCGTAAGAACTCGAATGATTGAACCTGGAGCTAGGACGTCGGTGTTGCCTCTGCTGGTATGGCGCGGTGTTTTTTACTTTTCTTTTATCTCAAGCAGGGGCTCGGGGAGTCGGTTTTCGCTGTGCTCTCGGGCCCCTATCCAGGAGAGGGAATTCTGAACGTTCTAGCGCGAGGTTCAATTATTCCAGTTCTTACGGTACTAGATAACATCAAGAACACCCATCACCGGCTCCTTAGCCTACCACAGAGCTACATGGCCTTGTGCCACTCCTCAACCGCCACAAACTAGATATTATTGAAAAAGATGTCAAAGTCTAAGCACACCACACAGTTAGTAAAATGGAATCGGGGCCCATAGGAAGGTATTTTTTAGTATTCCCGGAAGGGGTAGTATGCGTCAACTTCCTTAATGGGCATAAGCCCCTCCCGCCCGAGCATGATACAAGCGCTAGATCAAGTATTTCCTGAGCCCCACGTCTCCTTTGCTCATTCCAGACACTTCTGAAGTGAAGCTGTTGTTGGAGGAATGCCCGCGATGCGATTGGCCCACAGAATCCCCGTTGATATGCACCCTTCAGTGGTCGTGGAGATTCCCAACACCCTACAGATGCATATAGCGCATTGTAGAAGTGTCCACAGGATTATAATTATAAGGTGCAAGTGAACCGAGCATCTCGGACAGCAGGTGCTTCGGAGTCTGTATAATCGCAGCCATATCAACGGAGAATCCGCCAATATTCCTACTATATATAAAAATCATCCCCCGCCTCCCTCTCGAGGCTGGATACAGGTGCGATTACTCAGCCAATGGGTGGGACGGTGGCCTGAACCTGCACTTCCGCCACACCCCAAATATCCTAGGCTCAGCCCCACAACTACCCTCCCACGGGTATATATGATACTTCCCCGCCAAATGCTCGTCCCACCCCCAGAGGGACCGAACGACCCTTGCTTGGGCCATTCCATATTGTCACTTTTACCAAAAAAAAAAACAGCACCCGGTCCCCAACAAACCAATCCCCACTATACAACAGCGAAGGAAAAGTGGTCTCTGGCAACAAAGACACGAGCATTATGCTCCCCCTCGGCGGGGGAAGATTGAATCCAATTCTTCCGTAATACGGATACCAGAGGGCAATATGTGTCTTCGATGATCCAGTGCACGCCCATTCCGGCACCCCATAGTCAGCTACAGTATCTATCATACTAAGGGTAGAATGTATAAAATACCCAGCAACAGTGCTTCACCGTTTTCCCGCTCCAGCAATCCTCAGCAGCTTGTAGAGATGCTGAGATAGCGTATATCACAGCACCTACCCCCCCCCCTCCCCCCCCTATGTTGCATTGATATCCTAACCCGCCAATTCACACTTCCCGGATAATGGAACGACTGAACACAACTGGAGATATAAGCAACAGTACATCATTAGTGATCACTCGATCGGAGCCTTCGGAGGTTTCTTCCAGGGAGGCAGTCTGTCCGCCCTCATGTTCCCACCCTCGCATCTCCCCCAACTCGCTGGAGCTACTGTAGCTCTCGCCGTACTCGCACAATTCCGGTGGTTGTGCCCGACCGTTTGGTATCCAAGAGTTTAGGCAGCATCGTGCTGCACGCCTTACCCGAGTATTGACGCTACCATTCAGAAGACAAAAAGAACTCACCCCTAATTACTCTAGTGTAGCTGGGAGTGATGGGTTTTGTGGAGATCGTAGCCATTCCCAAGGACCAGAGGGCCTTGGAAGATCTCGTAGAACAAGAAGCGCCAGAAGTTAGCCTGTCTAACCCCCTCCATCGTACTGTACGTGAACAGTGCTCAACTTCCGTACCATAGGTGAGCTCGATCTAGAACAAGTGTGAAGTACCTTCAAGGCACTTGACCATCCGTTCACGATACTATTCACTAGGCTTCAGTCCGTGCCTTCTGTTCGATACCCAGCCAAGGTCTCTGATCCTCCCGTGGGTCCCACTCGAGCAAAACATAGTCTAGTCTACGGCTCTTCCCGCTCCACTCGGCGGTTTAGTCAGTCGCACAGCCTGCTTGATACTATCATGCTAGTTATTACCGCTATGCTACCACCACATCGGCCTGTCCCCGCCTTGCGGAAGGATGGTTGTCGCGTCATTCAAAAGCCCTCTGTATATTTATTTATTCCCCCTTCCCACTTCTACCCCCGACTCAATACCGTACAATAAAACGATCCGCTATTCCGCAAGGTAAATCAGACTAGCCCAAACCGAAAGCGAGAGAGAAAAAAAAAGAGTATAATGACATGCCAAACGGATCGGACGTGCGAAACCAAGGGAAAGGAAGAAGGAAAAAAAAAAAGCTCTGCAAATCGCCCCAACTCCGTCTGCTGATAAATATAAACACTCGAATGCAGAGACCGTCTGAAAGCTCAAATACATATACTGCCGAACAAACGATGGGAATGCGCGAATCGCGGGATGAGAGGTCCATCTGTCCTCTGGTCGATACAGAAGTGGTCGCACCTAACGAGTAGTGAAAGAATTTAGTGCAAAACGAGCGAAATGGGGCTTCAAAAGCTCATATTGCTCGAAAACCCCACATTTCCCAGCGATGCCCCGCCATTGGTTTATATCAATGAGAGAAGGAAAAGAAAAGAAAAAAGTTGATAATCCAAGTTCCCAGACAAGGTGGGCCCTATCTGTCATTCTACCCGCTACCCCTTCCCAGGTCATCCTCGCGCCCAAGGAATGTTGCATCATCATCCAAATCGCTCCCTCTCCTCCCCCCGAAACTTCTCCCCGTGCTCTCCTCTTCTCCATAGCCAGGGGTGCTTGGACCTCTACTACCGGGTAAGAGCATCATCGAACTATTCCTGCTTTTGCTGCTCTCCGCACCAAGCCCTTTCCCGCCGAGGCCCTTTCTTCCATTTCCCAGCGCCCGGAACGAGGTCGAAGACGGGGATGTGGAGCGCGGTGTACTATCTGGGCCATCCCGGAGGGTGGAGCCGTCCGTGTCTGGATTGTATTCCACCACCACCGGGGTGGGCGATTTCTTCACCCTGCGACGATCTCGGCGAATCCTATTGGAAGCGGGCTGCAGCAAGTTTCTCGAACCAGTGGCTTCATCTTCGTCTGAGGAAAACACATCGTTGGAACTGTCGAACGAGTATCGCATCGATGTCGAAGATGCCCGTCGCCCTGGAATAGGAGCAGAGTCTTGTAGTGCAGTGTGCGAAGGATTCTTGTTCTTGATGTATGAATCGATGATATAGTATTGCATCGCATTCATGACCAATGGGAAGAACTAGCAATGAAGAGTGTTAGTGAGAATGATAAAGGACGCCTACAGTCCCAAAACTCAGGAGGACTAAACGAGCACATACAAACATGACAAAGAAGATTTGGAGTCTCTTATCCCCCTCAGTCCAAGCCAGCATCCAGTCCCCAAGGCGACCCAACCACGGACATAGTGCGAATATCAACCAAACCACAAGTTTCATTCCCATCAGCCCCATAAAGTATATTATAGACTGTTTCCCCCAGTATGACCATTTTGGAGGCTCGCCGTAATCTCCGGATGAAATTCCCGTTCGGAACAGGGGAATTGGCGACAGAAGGAACAAGGCGTGCAGGAGACGTAGAAGATATATCAAGATGACGATCCCAACGGTTGTCTAGTTAGCAAAGGTCAGCGCGAGATATGCGAAAAGGGGTAGGGTGATCGGACATCGATAGCAAGGTTTAGCAGGTAAAAGCTGCACGGGTTCGGATGATAGAAGTCGGGCTCGTCGCCTTCTACTTGGCGTCGAAGTAAGCGTGCAAAAGCAGGGGCAGCTACGCCTAGAAATTTGGGGGTGGGCTCGGTGGTGAATGTTCCGGATGATAGCATGGACAAAAGGACATTGGCAATGTGAACTAGCACGGACCCGACAACCTGTTTCGAAACGTCGAACCACCTAAGGTCATGATGAGCAATCCGCCCACGGTAATGCTCTCGAAACAAACATACCAAATAAGCATCGGTCGTTGAGGCGACTCCCGAGCTCTCTTCCATACAAGTGACAGCAGGGCCAAGGCACCTAATGCCCCTTGAACAAAGAGGGCTAAGCAGAGCATGTTAGCCACGTTGTGATCACCGGTCATTCCCCTTAAAAACCCCCAGAAGCGCACACAAAGGGAATCCTGGGAGGGAGGAAACAACAAACCAAATGGCCCTAGTAGCTCACATGTCCCGCTCCCCTCGCTTCCGCCGTCCTCCATGGCCATGGTGGAATGGTCACGTTTAGAGCCAGCCGATAGGGCAAGTTGTGATTCCCTCGTCGTGAGTAGACAAGGTGGCAAAGAAAGACCTAGGAAAAGAGAACAAGACAAGAGGGTGAGGGGTAAAGAACAAAGGAGAAAGGCACAATAAAAGAGAAGGGGAAAAAGTGGCAGGAGAGCGGAGGGGTACAGAGGCGGAGGAGAGCAGTTTCGATGGTCGGGGGTTTGGCAAATTGTTGACGTCGGGGCGGTTGCCTATTCGTGGGGAGGCGCAAGGGGATTACCGGTAGGATACCCGTTAACCTTCAGACACAACAGGAAGTATGACAAACTGCCGTACGACACCGTACCTGTAGCCGGGTGAAAACAAAGGAACAGACTACGGTGCTCTGGTACAATACCGGTACCGTATGATAGCGGAAAGCTGTCTATGCAGAGGAATCAAGAGGTGCTATGAGCAGTGGCGCCCTCCCTTCACATCCGATTCCACACAGAGCTGACCGCGGAGGATGGGCCACAGTACTAGTAAGTTTCCGGGACCACAGGAGTTATGAGTGGTCGGGTCCCTTCCACCGTGCTGTACGGGTATGATACGGTACTCGTAGCCTACCCGTGCTGTACCGTATCATGCGAGCACCGTACTCTTTGAAGTCACCAAAGCCTCACTCAGCTACACAGCCACTCGCCACCCACGGCCAGCGAGCAGCTTGCTCGGCCCTGCCAACTTCCCGCTTTCCCACAAGCCATCATAGGTCTTGGCGTTTTACTACTCGAGTGATCGCTCCTCGCTGCACCATCGATTATCCTTCCAACTTTAATTTTGAGCCGCATCCCGCTCTACCGTACCGGTACCGGTATTCAAAAAAAAAAAAAAAAAAGGAAGGAGATCGTCCCAAGAAATTCTAGGTCGGTATAACCTCCCAGAAAGTTAGAATGAATTACAGGCCACCTCAATGGGCACGTTAGAGCAAGCATTCTACTAGTAGTGTACCGGCACGTACCTGTTATTGGACTGAACCATGGGCTCTCACTCGACTCGTCGTCTGACTTTATCGATTTACAGCTTAGCAACACGCTGGCTTACCATGCGGTGCTGGAAAAAAAAAGAAAAAGCCCTCCGCATCTTGGTCTGGTGGTAAAAAAGGGTTTGCCCTCGTTACCGTGTTCTACATCCACCTTGTTTTTCACGAGAAATCTGGGGCCCCCATACAATTGGCTTCGGGATGATACAGGGTATCAATCCCTCCAAACCCTGGCCCCAAATAGGCGGAATCTGCTCCTCTCTCTCGTGGAGCAGGGAGCCGCCCAGATATCGCCGGGTAACCCTGTTATGCCACGAACCGGGTAACTTACTACCGTACTGGAGAAAAAACTCGATGTGCACCACTGCCTTGCCCAACCATCGCCCCTTCACGAACTTAATCCCCTCTCTCTACTCGTGTTTTCACACACAGACTACAACTTTCTCAAAACCACTCAGCTCGAGATGTCCGCAAAGAGAAAGCTGGACCCAACCGTTGAGGAAGAGTTAATTGTACAACCTCCGCCCCCCTCCGCCCCCCTCCGCCCCCTCGGTTTCCGTTCTTCCAATCCCTGCCGCTGACCACGGAGCTCTTGATAGGATGAATCCGACCATCTTACCTTCCTCTGCCTTGGTGGTGGAAATGAGGTCGGACGCTCGTGCCACATCTTAAAGTACAAAGGAAAAACGGTTATGCTCGATGCGGGGGTCCATCCCGCCTACGAGGGACTGGCCGGACTGCCGTTTTACGACCAATTCGACCTCAGCACTGTGGATGTTTTGTTGATTAGTCACTTTCATTTGGACCATGCAGCAAGTTTGCCGTACGTTATGACGAAGACGAATTTCAGGGGCAGGGTCTTCATGACCCACCCAACAAAAGCGATTTACAAGTGGTTGATTCAGGACAGTGTACGAGTTGGGTGAGCTTCTCGCAGAACATGTGATGGATGGAGGGGATGCCGGATGTTGATTGGGGCTGATAGGAACGTCCATAATTCGCCGGACAATCTCTACACCGAAGCGGATCACCTCTCGAGCTATTCCCGTATTGAAGCTATTGACTACCACACAACGCTTACGCATGCCGGTATTTCAATTACCCCGTATCATGCCGGGCATGTGCTTGGGGGTGCCATGTTCTTCATCGAGATAGCTGGTTTGAAGATTCTGTTCACTGGCGATTACTCCCGTGAGGACGACCGGCATTTAGTATCTGCTGAAGTCCCTCACCAGAAGCCTGACTTACTAATTTGTGAATCAACCTATGGCACAGCCACCCACATGCCTCGTCTGGAAAAAGAAGCACGACTGATGAAAATGACTACCGAAATTCTCAACCGCGGTGGGAGAGTATTAATGCCAGTGTTTGCCCTAGGTAGAGCACAAGAACTACTCCTAATTTTAGATGAGTATTGGGAGAAGCATCCGGCGTACCAGAGCTACCCTATATACTACGCATCGAACCTGGCTAGAAAGTGTATGGATGTTTACAGGACATATATAAATACCATGAACGATAAGATTAAGCGCGCCATGTTCGAGGGCGAGGGGAGAAATCCTTGGGACTTCAGATGGGTTAGGTCGTTAAAGACTATTGATCGGTTCGAGGACGTCGGCGGCTGCGTTATGTTAGCCAGCCCGGGTATGCTGCAGGTAAAACTCTCTCCGTGTCCAGCTTTTCTACCCGGCCTCCCAGCCCTACCCAAAGCTCCTCGGCCGCGCTATCCACACCATGTGCTTGGGGAGCAATCTATCTTTGAGGGGCAGCAGGAATGCCTCCCCCCCCCGATATCTCGATATCGTAGACTATACTCTCATTTTGTACTGGAAAGCTTTCATCCGTCTGCCAGAGGCCATATTACATCATGTTTTATAATAAATATAGTGCTTTTTCACTTCATTGTCCTCATCACCACTATTTGCTCCTGCCCACATCAATCCATTCCATGAACCCCGCTAACGTGCCATCACCCTCCAGAACGGTGTCTCCCGTGAGCTTCTAGAGCGCTGGTGCCCGGACCCACGCAATGGCCTGGTAATAACCGGCTACAGCGTAGAGGGCACAATGGCTAAGCAGATAATGAATGAGCCCACCGAGATCCCCGCCGTCGTGACCGCCAATCGCGGCGGCTCCACTGCCAACCGTGGCGTCGATGGGCAGGTGATGGTTCCCCGCCGGTGCAGCGTCGAGGAATTGTCCTTTGCGGCACATGTAGACTACGCTCAGAACTCGGGCTTCATAGAGGAGGTCGGGGCAAAGGTTGTCATCCTGGTGCATGGGGAGCAGAACAATATGGGGCGGCTCAAGTCTGCCCTACTTAGCAAGAACAGTGACCGAAAAGATAAGGATAAGGTTAAGATATACAACCCCAAAAATTGCGAGGAGTTGCGTATCCCATTTAAGGCGGATAAGATCGCAAAGGTACCTTCCCCTCCCCGCCTTTCCCGCTTCACCATAACCACACCTCGCTCACTCACTCATTCACTCACTCCTCAGGTCGTCGGCAAACTTGCGCAAAAACCCCCGGGGAACCAGACACTTGCACTGAAGGAGCAGCTGCTCACCGGCGTGCTCGTGCAAAACGATTTCAAACTCTCCCTCATGACGCCCGATGATCTTCGCGAGTACGCGGGCCTAACGACCACCGTCGTTAGTTGTCGTCAGAAGATCCCGATGCGCGCGGCAGGCGTCAGCCTCGTGCGCTGGAGTCTGGATAACATGTTTGGCGCGGTGGTGGATATTCCCGATGACGATGGGGAGTCGTCAGTGGAGGAGGAGGAGAAGAGCAGCGCAGACGAGGATAACGATATGAGCGACGAGGAGGAAGAAGGCTTGAAGCGTAAGAACGGGAATACCTTCAAGATTATGGACACCATCACCGTTCGCTGCAGAAAGGGCTACGTCGAGATGGAATGGGTTGGGAACATGTTGAACGATGGCATCGCCGATGCTACGGCCGCGGTCTTGATGGGATTGGAAACTAGTCCTGCTGCTGTTCGACGTTTGTCCCCCCCCCCCTCGCTACTCCCACGCCGCTCTAGCAACATCTAATGACTAATGGAAATAACGATAGACTCCTCAACGACAGCAACGCACACCCATACCCACTCCTCCGCCCTCTCCGAAATCCCTGAAACCTCCCCGCACGCACATATTCGCCATTCCGACCGCATAGAACAGGTGCTCACATTCCTAGAAGCTCAGTTCGGCGAATGCGTTACTCCCCTCCCACCCGGGTCGCAACCCGCTTCTTCCTCCACTGCCCTGCCACCCAAATCGATCGCAGAGGCTGCCACCACCACCGCCGCCATCACCGATAGTAGAGCTGCGACCGAGGAAATGGACGTCGTACAGGAAATGAGGGAGGTGGTGCCGGGGGTTCAGATCAAAATCGATAATATCGTCGCGAATGTCTGGTTTGAGAACCTTGATGTTGAATGTCGGAGCGAGAGTTTGAAAATGAGGGTTAAGACGGTTGTCGAGAGGGCTGTGGAGACTGTTGCGCCGTTAGTGGACTTGCTTGGGGGGTACTAAGGGGTTGTTCTTGTTCCTCTTTGTTTTGTTTTGTTTTGCTTTGTCCGTTTGTTACTACCTCCCCCCCCTCCTGTTTCCCCATTTGTTTAGGCTCAGGCTCCTACGGTGGGGGCGCAGCTGCCGGCGGGGGGGGGGGGGGGGTCGAGAGAGGGGCTTTATGTAATCTAGTACAATAGTTTCGGAATGCCAGGATATATAACCACACAGTCGCTGCCAATCGCCCTGTCTCTGACTCGTGGACCGGGATTATGTAGATTCGAATATTGTAGCCAGATGTTACTCGAGTACTTGTGTGTTCTGGATGAGGCGTGGATTCATCGGATGTTCAGGGGTTGTACTCGAGTACTCGTACTCGTACAAGTACGGTGTCCGGCACGTGGGATCAACCAGGGAACCAACAAGGGCAATAGGTACGAGTACTGTACTCGTTCTCGTACTAGTAGAAGATTTCCGAATATGGTCACACCTACGGGAAGATGTGGTTTCACAGAAGTGCCCAGGGGGCGCTCATCTCCATTTCCACTACTCTACTCGTACTGTACTCGAGCACGTTCCTGGTCTCCAACGGGAGCAGTATCGGTTAGGAGGACAAGACCTCAAATTACCCCCATGTAATATCGTTCTTCGAGGCAATTCTGGCCAAGCCCCCCTCTACCTTGCACTGTGCGAGTACCGGTACCGGTATGCAGTACGGTATCATACTGCACTAGGGGTATTCAAAGTTAAAACAAGGTACTTCCAGCACTGAGTAAGCATGGGAAGTTGAATTAGGTTACTTTATGGTGTTAGCCAATAGTATTCATGCATTTTTGGGTAGCATATTTGAGTATACTAGTACCATAGTAAGTGGAGGTACTCCCGCGGCCGAGTTGAAGTTGGACACCCACATAGGGTAGTAATTGCCGGGCCAATAACAAACCAATGCAGGGCAACACAATTAATAATCACATACGATATAAAATAAAAACACTGCATAATTCATTCTCATACTACATGACCTGGCAAGCCATCACATACCCATATAACCCAGAATCTAGCCATTGAAATTATTATTTCCATTGCTCAGTATTACTTTTCGAAGCTTGTCATGAAACGATTGACATTCCCGGTCAATCACAGCCTGTGGCAGAGCTTCCCAAGTCTCAACAAGTGCATGTTTAGCACCCTCTACTGCAGCGCTACCGCCTCCAATAAATCTCCATGTTGAGACATCGTCCTTCTCATACTCCCAGATGCGCTCTATCTGGTTTAAATCGGGTGACTTTGATGGCCAATCGAGGGTGATGATTCTGCAGTGTTGTCGCTCGTTCTCGTCAATTTGCCTTGCAGTTTTATGGCAAGGGGCATTATCCTCAACCAAATAGAGATAGGAGACATGCATCGTATTCTTCAAGGCTTCCATCCATGGGTAGAGTTTTGGTCGTAAAACCCGTTCATGATAAGAGACCCAGTTAATACCACCCTTGCTTGTAAATGCTAGTTCCTTCTCTTTAAATATTTGTTCTGGCTTTCGTCTCTTTCTCTTATTCCTCCCAGTCAGGCCGTACTCGGTATTGTGATCGTCAATTCCTTGGTTGAAGTCGATAAGTGTCTGATACTGCCAGGTTCCAGGAATTCCAGCCTGGTGGCAGTTGAACTCCTGTCGTTCACGATTTGCCTTATTCTCCTCCGCTACGATCTGCCGGCACATACCCTGATCTTCTAAGGTATCTTGTTCCCAAACATGACAAGGGCCCTTAGAACCCAATATTATTGCACCCCAAAACATGATTTGGATCGGCTGCTTTTCGTTGTCTTTGTCGTGAATCGCATACTGGTGTCTGTCAACACGGCGGTATCGGGATACGTTTCTTTGATATCGTGGCTTGCCAAACTCAACCCACATTTCATCGTTAAATACAATTGTATTTACCGCAATTTGAAGAGCTGTATGGGCAAAGGCGAGCCGGGCTTCAACATGCTCGGGCGATAGGGAGGGTTTATGGGCTGGTGTTCGGCGAAAAATATCATGCTGATTGTGAAAGACTCGTTCCAAGGTTGACCGCGCTGCAACAATTCCCAGCTCACCAGCTATCTCAGGAAATGTTTTTTTGCCAGTGCTCTTCATCTTTCTGACTCAGATCACGCAATGCGAGTGATTCCTCACAACCTTCCGGAAACCTTTCTGGGTTACCACCACCGGTTTTATTGCTCAAGCAGGCAAGAACATCATCAAAATCTTCGGAATTAAATGCAGATGCCTGATAATTCTCTTTGGTAAGTCTAAACCCAATTTCCTGCAATTCTTGCATTGAGAAACATGGAACTTACTTTGGCTCTCTTAATAATACTCTCAACAGTTGATTTGCTAACTCCTAATTGGTTTCCAATTTTCCGATAGGACATGTGCGCATGCCACCAGAGAGTCACAATAGCTGCTCGCTTGAGAAGAGGAATTTGAGGTGCTGTTCCATATCCATGTGCTGGCATACTGAGCAATCGGTCAATTGAGGAAGCAATCTGCATATGCGTTAATTGAGGGGTTGCTAGGTGACGATGCCTTTAATACCCTACCTGGAGAATACGGTATATGGAATTACTGTCGTCACCTTGATGCTCCGGATATGCCCATTCATTGGGCCGGCGATCACTACTCCATCTGGGTGTCCAACTTCAACTCGGCCGCGGGAGTAAAGTATAGAAGCTAATCAGAATTCTATCAATACTGTAAAAATTTGTTTTATTTTAACAAAAAATCAAGTTTAAGAGATTTTGCGGAAAAAAAAAGTAGATAATTGTTTTTAAGGCACACTATCATATTTTAGGATTTATTTTATTTTTTAAAATAATCTTTCAACTTTATATATTATTTCTGCATTCTAGTAAAGTTTGGTTACATGGGGTTTTACTCAAGATATGGACCTCTTGACCTCTATAAGAAAAGTATTGCTGAGTAAGGTAAAGTGATGTAAAGTAATGGTAAGTTAATAATTTCTGTGTATGCCAAGCTAACATGACATATCAAGGTAAGTTAACAATTGTCCCACTTTTTCAACTTTGAATACCCCTACTGCACTGTACTCTGGTATCACAAGTGACAGGGGAGATGTTTTTGTACAAGACAGGGATTATTCTGCGGGTTAACCTAAATTAACTGTGCGAAAACATTATCCCTGGGACTTGTACGTATATAGGTATCCCCTGAACTGCCAGCAACTGCCAGCAACTGCCATTCACATGACATCACCAGATGGGGTTTGGCCGCATCCACAAGCGTGCCGGGATTTTAGCATCAGTCTATCCCGTCCCATCAAAGAACCTCATACAGTGGAGGTTTATATACAAAATATATAGTGTTTCTACTTGTTTTGATAATCCTTTATAGTTATCCGAGTCCATGTTTAACAGATAACTACATTATTTAATTGACTCTGATCTTGCCAAGTTTTTCTGTGACTCTGCCAGTCGAGCACGTGCAATATGCTCCAAAAAACAGCTCTTCTTTTTCAAACAGATAGCTTCTCTACAAACCTTACAGCCGTAATAGCTTCTAGGAAGTCTTGGTGCTTGAGCCTTGAAGTTTGGCTGAAATGAGGGCTCTCGTGGCTTGCATGCTAGTCGACATGACTGACAGGACTTGGCAATTGGAAAAAGCTTTACTAGCTCATGTTTCCGCATGATCTTTTCTAGCCTTTTGCCAGCCTGCGGTACAAGAGTCTCGGGAATAGAAATAACTGAATCAGAGCTTGGAACTGCGGCTATGCTGGAAGGAACTCCAGGGCTTGTTGGAGGTAAATCTGGTAGTTCAGGACTCGGGGATTCTCGAGTAGCTAAATTAGGTCCACGAAATGTTTTCTGAGAAGCTTCAAAGAGGGAGGCGATCAGATCCTGAAAGAACTCTTTATGTGCACGAGTTGGATTCTCTGCACGCTGGCTTGACAACAAAAAGGAGTTGTTAATGGCCACATTCAATAGGAAGAAGAATAGTGGCTTCCATGTCTTTCTTTTAACTCTTTGGGTATCGTAGGTCGTCATGAGTTGCGCTGCTTGGTCCACAGAACCCATACTATGGTTATAGCAATCCACAATTGTCGGTATTGGGAGATACTTGACAGGCTGATCCCCAAATACTTTACGTATAATATTCGCTCCGGTTGCTGTTGCGGCTGGCTACTTGCGGAGCCGGACCACTTGTTCAGGAGGAAGTGCGACGGTACTTGCAAATAGGACGATTTGAGCATCCTTCCAAGCAAGTTGAATGACTGATTTCTTGGCTGAAAGCTCCCAGTATTGGGTTCCCCATACAACTCGATTGTTGTAGGTTAACTTGATACTCATAAGCCTATCTGAGAATTTCTCACGAGGGGAGAGTAACTCTATAATATGACGGTTTTTCCTCTGGCGCTGCAAGGTCAATGGTAGGGATTCTGATTGGCTAAATCCAGTGGATATTGACTGAGAGTTGTAGGCCTCTACAACAGCAGTGCGAGTGGGGTATTGTGAGGACGATTGTATCGATGCTGTAGCCTCGGCCTCCCTTCTCTGCCCAGAAATGGCAGCTTCTTCTTCTGCATCCCATTGCTCCTCTCGCTTTGTACGTAATGTACGTACAGTTCCAGCAGCTCCAATACCTAACTCACGTAGTGTTTCCAGAAGTGGAATTGTCGTAAACAAATTGTCAAACCAGACTATATGCTTATTCGCTTCAAGCATCCTTTGTCCAGTATGTGGATCGCGGTGAAGTACAAGCGTAAGTGGTACTGCTTCGGTAGGGGTAAAACCGTATTCTACCCAAATAGGATCCAGTTCAACAGGTCCACGATCCTTGCCTTTTGCGTGGAACATCCAGTTGAGGATATATCCGGAACATCCCAGAACCCAAATTTTAAACCCTTTTGGCGTAGGCTTATGGGGAATGTTGACAATCTCAGAGGCTCGCCCTTGAAAGCGCTGAATCATCTCATCTACAGCAAGATTGGGACCAGGCTTGTAGTACTTTTGTGCACGGGTTTTGATGTAAT